CCCCCCCCCCCCCCCCCCCGTGGTTCACAAAATTTGAGTTCGAGAATTTTTTTTCATTATTCTACATTATAAGTACCCAAAAAAGCTATATACATAAATTAATTATTATCATAAATCAATTTATTATCATAAATTATACACCCTGTATAGGCCCTCTGGCAGGAATCGATGCATAGTTTCATTTTTATCCAGGTTAGGTCTATCTAATTAATACTCATTCACACTCGAAATTTCCATCTACAAAACCCTTCAACACTATCGAGTCTATCGAGTGTAGATTCCCCAAATCCTTATGTTTTCTATTTTCACTTTAAAGGATGTCAAACAAACAGTGGATCAAATGGAAAAACTTGGTTTCCCTGGCGCAGATTTGTTCGCAACCATGTTCAGGCTTTACCAAAAAGGAATCGATCGTGATATAGCACTTACAAAGAAACTGAATCCGAAGGCAAAATCGTGGGAAGAGTTCGTTGTTAGTCACAAAGAATATTTTGAAAGTAACTTGTAAAACTAGCTGATATTTATAGTCTGGACAACTTGGGCAACAGGCCAAGTTAATTGTAGTATTATAACCTATTGAACTGTATTATTATTATTATACGATCTTAGGATGTCTTTGTCTCGACGCAGATGTAATGATGAAATGATACTCGTAGTGGTGACGATAGTGATATAGTGCATAGTGATGATGATGGTGATTATGATGGTGGTTTTGATAATTAAGTGTTTGTAGTACGTCAGAATTTTACGCCCTTTTCCCCGAGCCAATATCACTTTATTGGATAACTACTCACAACTGATAAATTTGTAACGATCTATCGAAAGTTTATGAAATATTTAAACCTCTATGTCACTTACAGGGTTTCAACTCTTTTATTAGAGATGAAATGCAGGACATTTTCCTGTAAATTGAAGGATCTAAACCTGGAAAATGGCATGGATTTTGCTTTATGAAACTCTACAATTTATTCAAAATCAATTGTGTATATAATGTTTAAGCACAGAACAACAATTTAACCATATTACACTCGTTTCGCTATCTGAAACGAGCGCGGTCAAGCCATACATATTTATGCATCAGACTCATTTCCAGATCCAGTGGCGCCGTAGCCGGGGGGGCAGGGGGGGGGCATGCCCCCCCTATTGTCGAGACCCGTCGGAAAATTGTCAATGTTGTCGGAAATTTTCGGAAAATTGTCAACGTTGTCGGAAATTGTCAAAGTCGTCGACGAGTGAAGATATTTTATTTCCGGGGAAAATATGCTATATCTGGAAATTTTTTTTGGTATATTCGGAAAATTTTTTTCATATTTAGGAAGAAATGTGATATATCCGGAAAAAATTTTTTGGTTTGTCCGGAAAAAATATTTTGAGACCTCCCCCGTCGCCAACTATTTACGGGAAAAATTTTTTAGGTTCCTTGTCGGAAACTATTTTTCGGTTTGTCGGAAAAGTACTGTCCTTGCCCCCCCCCCCCAAAAAAAAACATGGGTCCCACGGCGCCACTGTACAATCCAAGACACTATTTAGAGTGTTATTTTCAAGGTTATATCTACAGATTTGCCACTTTTATTTCGGTATTTCAGAATATCTAAATTTTACGCGAGAGCCTCGTCCGGAAATACAGCTTGACATATTAAAACAATGTGATGTTTACATCCTGGCGCTCGGTACCCTGATTGGCGCTGTTTAATCGGTTTAATGTTGAACTAGAGCCTTCGCGACGTTTCAATCACGGTTAATAGAAGGAGACTAGTTATTATTTACTGTCGAAGGCTCTGGAATCCAGGGTGGGCACTCGGGAAACGTCGGAAATTCTAAAGGTCAAATTACCCCTTCACGTAGCGTGATTTGCACGTGCATCGGGGCTATGGGTGCTCATTATTGGCCAATTTTAGCGTGTGGCACGCGCGTGCGAGTAACAAACCGATATTCTGAAAAATTCAAAATATTTCTAGTCCGCCGTATTCAAACGAAACTTTCTGCACGAAAGTGCTTGAATACAAGTGATATTTCACTCCTATTGACTTAGTCTGAAGAGCTCAGAGGGTATTCAATATTTTTCTCCATATGAAGTACAGAATTATTATTATTATTCTTATTATTATAATTCATTTATATAGCGCCATTTCCCATAGCTCAATAGCGCTTAACATCAAGTGTTAAAAATATATACTAAGTGTTAGAACATAGTGCATGCATTGACTACTAAAATTACTATACTATAAAATTACTAAAAAATAATTATATGCTCTTCTCGTTAAGAATATAAAATTACTTTATGTTATGTATGTTGATAATATTAAAACAACAACTATATAGAATACTATAAAATTGCTAATAATCTTGTTAAAATAATAACTTAGTCATAATACTGTTTAAAAAGATGTGTCTTTAATCTGGTTTTAAAAATAGGCAAGGTCTCACTCTTTCTAATATACTCTGGCAGTTCGTTCCACAGTTTCGGTGCAGCATATGAGAACGATCGTTCACCATAGTTCACTAGTTTTACTGAAGGTATGGTAAGCAATCCTTTGGATGAGGAGCGTAAATTTGCTGATGGTGTGTAAGGTTTTAGCATATTATTAATGTAATGTGGAGCTGAGCCATTCAGAGATTTATACGTGATAAGAACAATTTTATAGATGATGCGTTGACTGATGGGGAGCCAATGTAATTGTTTCATTAATGGAGTAACATGGTCGTATTTTCTGCTTCCTGTCACCAGACGAGCAGCACAGTTTTGCACATTCTGTAATCGATCTATAAGAAATTTGGGTAGTCCGTATAGCAAAGAGTTGCAATTATCTAGTTTCGATGTAATAAAGGCATGAACTAGGGTTTGGATATCTGATTTTGATAAGTACTCTTTTATTCTTGCTATTTTTCTCAAATGGAAAAAACAGTTCTTGCAAATGTTGGTAATATGTTTATCCATGGACATGTGTTGATCGAAGGTTACACCGATGTTTCGTGCTGAAGTACTTGGTTGAACTATTGACTTAGATATTTCTATATGGTGTACAGCAGGGCATAAACGATTTCGTGCATTGATTACTAGTAGCTCAGTCTTGTCCCCATTCAATTTTAATTTATTTTTGACCATCCACAAATCAATCTCCTTTACACACATTTCGATTTGTACCAGTGCTCCCGCTTTTCCTTCAGTGGTTGACTCAAAAGCGAGATATAATTGCGAGTCGTCTGCATAAAAGTGAAAATCAAGATCATGACCTCTGATGATATCACCAAGGGGTGAAGTGTATAGTAAATATAGTATAGGGCCGAGAACTGATCCTTGTGGGACTCCACTGCGCAAGTCTTTAGAGATAGATTTAACACCGTCAATCACTACACTTTGCGTTCTATTCTGAAGATAGGACTGAAACCATCTCAACACTTGTCCATCTATCCCAAATCTTTTGAACATTCGTTGTAGTAAAAGTTCGTGATCAACAGTATCGAATGCTGCTGACATATCTAGTAATAGCAACACCACACACTTACGATTATCAATGGCTACAAGAATATCGTTTTGTACTTTCAATAGGGTTGTTTCTGCACTATGAAAACGTTTATATGCCGACTGGAAGGGTTCTTTTAATTTGTTATTAGCCAAGTGTTCCAGAAGCTGACCGGCAGCAACCTTCTCAATTACTTTAGACAGGAGTTTTAAATTTGAAATAGGTCGGAAATTTGTGTATTCTTCGTAATCCAGCGAATCTTTCTTTAGTTTTGGTTTCAACACGGCTTCTTTTAGTATCTCAGGCATACAACCTGACTGAAGTGACTCATTACTGATCTTAGTAATTATAGGTAAGAGAGTCTTCTGACAACCTTGAAAGATTTTTGCGGGCACTGGATCAAGTTCACAAGATTTTTTACCAACTTTATCAATGACATTTTCAATCTCATGTTCCGTGACTTCTTGAAAGTTAATGAATTTAACGCATTGTGCATATTGTTCCTCTTGATTTCGCTGATTACAGTGGGAAGAATCGATGGCTAGTTCTTTCCATATAATAGCAATCTTATTATTGAAGAAATATGAAAATTTATTCACAAGTTCAGTCGTTGATGACGCAGTTGGATAGCGCTTTTCTGGCTTTCGATGGAGTAATTTATCAACCGTACTAAATAACACTTTCTGATTATGTGCATTACTGGAAATAACCGATGAGTAGTATGTTGTCTTAGCATTCTTTATCATGGCATTCACTGTCTCACATTGTTTGACATATAACTCTCTGTCAATACATAGTCCAGATGCGCGCCAGCGGCGCTCTAGTTTCCTGCGATTTCTTTTTTCTTGACCAATCTCCTCATTGTACCATGGTGATAAAGGACGAAGAGTTATAATTCGTCGTTTTTGTGGAGCATGCTGCTGTAAAGTTTCTTTCAACGTATTTTCATATTTATCAATAAGGACTGAAAGATCATAATCGTCATTTAAATCTAGTACTTTTAGATCTTCATTGAAACTATCCATGTTTACATTGTTTAATTTTCGATAATAAATTTCAGCTTGTTCTAATGGTGGTTTCTCTAACTGTAATGTACAATGTATGGCAAGATGATCTGATATTACTGGATCATGTATTCTGATACCAGTCACTAATTTATCTTTATTCCTTGTTATAATCAAGTCTAAGGTGTGGCCTTTCTTGTGGGTTGGCCCATTGACGTGTTGCTGTAAATTAAACAATTCCAGTATCTTGTTGAATTTAATAGTATCTGAATCTCCAATGTTGTCTATATGAAAATTAAAGTCTCCTGCCATTAATATATTGCCAGGTAATATGATCAACTGTTCCACAAATATGCAGAATTCTTCAAAAAATATTGAGCTGCTTAATTTATTAGTCTTCGATGGGGGTGGTCTATAAATGACAATCATTCTGGTGCAGGTATTACGGCAGTTCAAGGTGACATCCATATATTCAAAAGAAGAGAATTTTCTCTGAGATTGTTTTTTGACTTTAATATATTTCTTCAGTAAGAGACCAACTCCTTCACCTCGTGCATTTTTCCTTGTAATGTGATAAAAGTGATACCCCGTTGGGCAGATTTCAGCAGTAGAAAATTCATTATCATCCTCACGTAACCATGTCTCAGTCACTGCTAGAATATCAATATCGTTCTCAGACACATAATCATTAATAAAAAGCTCTTTCCTATTTATTGATCTGGTGTTCAACAGGCAAAAGTTGATAGGCATAAAATAAGTCTTCTGTTCCCTTGTACAATTGACATAAATTAAATTATTAAAATTTACAGATCGAGTTCGTTCCGTATTCTTAGTATCTCTCGAGGGACTATTTGCATCTTTTTCAG